AGCCAATACCCCCCCCCTCCCGCTCACAGGGAGTGCGTGCAGTTGATTATAGTTCCTGGGCTCCCTGTCGACTCTAGACCCAGCAATCCCCTACTTCTATAGACTTTGTTCACGCAACGTGGGACGTCTCTAATACAGTGAAATGAACGGTTTTATAGTTAGCATACTCTTTACAGTGAATTTGTAAATTTTGCAAGTTGTCGAGTGAGGGACATCATTTATGAATTATTATAAATATATGCAAAACGATCAAATGACTATATACAATATCTCGATTTCAAGCTATGAGATTGAAATATATGGTGAAATGTGTATGACCGGCTCAGGTTGGAAACCTACTATAACCAAGTATTGTGTGAACGTATGTCAGTATTGGTTGCTGTTACTCATCCTATGCTATTACCTAGGAGACTAGCACCTATATTTGCATAAATGAAATAAAAATAAATACCATCTGCCGCATATGTTGACAATCATAACGCTTGGTTGTGTTCGTTGATATTATGTCACACGTGTACCTGTGCTTACTATATGTTATGTTAACTCTGTCCGAATATGTTGCTTTGGCATTTTCTATAAAGGGCGGTACGGTGGTCGTCACACAGTGCGTGTTCAAATTTCATGTAAATAAACAATGTATTTTACCCGCGTTGTATACGTCGCTATGAGTCCCTTGTCGCGAGGACGCGGCGCAACGACCACCGTCCTTTAAATTACAATACAGTCGTCATATACCGATCAACATTCTATATGTAATAATGAAGATGTGCGTATATTCAATTTCGTACTTAAATCTAGTTTATGTAAAATAAAAAGCATATCAATTTAAAATAATAAGTTAAGATTAAAAGCTAACGAAAACAGCTGATAACAACTCACACGATAAAATGGAGTGGTGCACGTGTTTTGTTTCAGAGGTCATCCTAACCTCTCGCATTTCAAATGATTCTCTTCTTAGCGTTCAGATTTTGTATGATTTTAATATTAAACCTGTATTTCATGTCGTCATATTATTAAACACTTGTTACCCAATAATTTGAATACTTTATTCCTCATTTGTTTTCAAATATAACACTGTATTCCTATACATGGTATGGGGCCTTGATGCTCAATAATGACATCCATTATTGTGAATAATCAACAATGATGGCGTCATGAAATTGAAAATTTACTGGAATTGAAAATGTTATAGTATAATCTGTTATATTTACAGACTATTATTTCAGGGCGATCGCTTTTTTATCCCGTCACATTTATCGACGAGATATAACAGGAATCAGATGCCCTGGTTATTCTAGTAAATAGTGACATGATTATTCGAATGATGCAAACAGCAATCAATCTCTTATGAAAAGACCTGTCTGCGCTAACATACATAATAGTGTGATTCATATCGCTCATCAGTTTATAGACAAAATTTACTCTGTACAAAAGTGCTAAACTACGCCATTATGTGTTATCACAAATATTTTATAGCCGACTGTAATCCTAACAAGGAGTTTAAAATAACATATGGCGTTGCGTCAGTCTGCGTCAACATAACCCCCAGCGCCTTTCAATTGAGATGGGAGTAAGAATTTCAGAAACGATTCAATGAGGGCGTTTAATGGGTCTATTTGATTATTTTTATTTCTAATATCTACCAGTTTCCTTTCCCGTAAGTACTACTGCCCCACCTCCTGAGACTAAAGTGTAACGTATTTAGTCATCGTGTTTTCATCATGCAAATAACTATTACAAGTAAAAGTTTTATTATTTCAGTGCACCCACGCACGGCGTATACTATATCTGAAAGTACGTGTTAGGGCTGGGTACACATGTTTATATAATAATGGCATTTGTTTTTGTCATTCTCTATCCAGTCGATTTGGCATCCCGTCTGTTCAACTACCAAGGTGTAAAACTCCCGATTATGAGTCTATTGTACCAGTGATGTTCACCTAAAATTCTGAAGTTCAGATAACACTATAAAAATAAAAATGATTTTCTGACTTGAACCAAACTAGCTCAATAACAACCACTTATATTAAAGTAGAACAAATCGAACACCGTCGGATCTAGGGTACTTATGTTGTTAAGATCACACGTCACACGTTGCAATAGGACATATGTCACTGCTGTGTTTGAGTTTATTATGTATGCAATGTGCAGTCGTTTCAGTGTTCTAATGCCATATGGGACATCGTGTAACGTACAAATGTTCCCACATAGGAAGGCGCCGGGTGTGTTTGCTGTAACTGCTGAAATGAGGTTTAACTAAACTAAAGAAATTTCAATCACAGTTCTTGAACTCTCTCAACTTGTATATTTGTACGATTTAGTGCCACAATTTCTGTTTTACGAGATATTCGGTATAATATAAATTTACACCCCGGCACCGGTGAACATGTTTAGTGGCCCCTCAGAACTCATTGTCAACCACGGTTCAATTAACACTGTAGTGCATTCCTCGTAACCTATTTTACAATTGGAAATGATCAATATTTTGAAATATATTTAATACTATATATTTTCCTACTCTGAAACATGTGCTATCTGTACCCTGTTAGGCCACCACACAAATGCGGCTAAAATCAATATGTTTGTATTAAAAACTACTAATGATACTTATTTGTGCTCATTCACTTTTATTTGTCTGTGACATTAAGGGTTGGTTATATTCATCATCAAAACAAACAAATATGCAAACACACATTTATACCAACTGTTACCTTTTTAACTTTACCAATTAATATTGGATTACATCTGCCATCCATGCACACACACAACAGAGAGCAAGTTAGGGTAAAACATGCTAGCACATAGCAATATGACATACATGTTACATATAAATATATATATATGAAGACATGTGAATACGAGACTCCGTACACGCATAAATATCAATTTTATACATCGAAAAAATTATATATTAGTAATTTCGATATTTATTCAAATAAGTACAGTAAAATGTGTTGATCACAAAATATATGTGTTGTGTGTACGGCGGCTTATTACACTACAAATTTGTGTATGCAATGACTATTAGACAGATGTCTAGATAAGTAATGTTGCATGGATATCACATACATCAATAGCTATATATTTTAATGTCAACTGCTGTTACTAAATTAACTTTACCAATTAATATTGGATTATTATTGATTAGCTCTATAAGATATTGTTTTCATTGAATACTGACCCGATATTAGAATAATTGGAGTTATTGTAGGTGAATACTTGTGTATAGTAGTGACATACAGACTGTTTAGACATATCATATTGAATTTGAAAGATATCATTTAACAAATATAATTTTACTAATCGCATTCACATTCACTAATCACAAATAACTGAGCTGTGTGAAATATAGTTACACAACCACAACCTGTTGCCTGCCAATTACCTGCATACTTTAGTACTTGTCTCACAGTCGCAGTGGGTCATCATAAAGCAATCAACTCATATCTGACATTTTGCTACTACATCAGTGAATTATAAAAGTGGAAATACCATACGCAACTGACAACAATTGACAAAACGATTCACATATCAAAACAAAACTACATAATCAAGTCAGTCATATATGGATTCATGCTGTACACAAAGTGATGTCAGGTGTTTCTTAAAAGATTTAGCACATCCGGCTCCAAATGTCATTCTATAGTCATATGTTTCCTGTTTAAAATCTCGGGATCATCTTCGTAACAGTGTTATTGTATTTAACCACAGTCACATTGTACTTGTATTTGATGAAAGAAGACAATGTCTATTTAAAAAGTCTGCGTCTGTATTGAAGACCCTTGTATAGAGAATGAGCTTAGAAATGTATATCTCTGATTCATATGAACAAGTGTCAGGTGGTATAACTTAAATGATCTGGACTGGATCGATAGAGCATATGGAATATCATTGTACAAAATGTGTACCAACTCGTCAAACTTTCTATTTTTATTTATATATAAACGTTGGTGGCTGCAAGTACTGATTCAAAATATCTGCATGCTAAAGGATTTTATATAGGATAGGATATTGGATTTAACGTATGGCACATCTAAATGATAATCCTTTTCTGGCGAATGAACAATTCATCAACAGCAAATCGTTTTGTGTAATTATCTCTGCGTACACTGCACGTAATGATACGGCTGTTGTAAGGTCATGTGACTTAATTACCACTCACCTTGTTGAGGACACGTCCACGTCTAGACAAATATTAAGAAATAATAATACATTGAGACATACAATACAGGTAACGTTAATATTTGATAATTTCACACAAATCTACAATAACGATTCATTTTCTGATTACTATATTTTCTTTGAATAGAACAATTCAAAGCTATTTCTTTTTTAGCATGAGGAGTGGAAGACGTGAAACAATATATGTGGCTGTTCTGTTGTGTTTTGCAGTATTCGTTATGTTTTATTGGAAAGGTAAGTAACGTTTCTAAATGTTTAAGTGTATATTTCAAAACTTTTCAAGTTCAACAACTAATTAATAAAACCATTTTCGTCAAATCACGCGTACCATAGAGACAGGTATGTTCTATGTGTAAGATTCGATGAAGTGATGAACACAGGTCTTTGTAATGGATATGGATATGCAGAAAGTTTGAATCCCGTATTGCCTGTTGTAATGTATATGTTCTATTATTTATAATTGTTTTGATTTTGAAATGCTGGTAGTCAAATTGTAGACTCTATCAACAGTTTGTTTGTACAGAACCGTGAATACATGCATGTATGTGTATGTAGTAATATGTACTACGTGTTGCTTATATCCGAGATCCGGTTTGTTCATTTCCAACTCGGTCGCTGTGAGTCAGTGTTATTTACATACCATATTGCGCTGTCTTTTTTTTTAGCGAAGTATACTTACAGTCGACGCGTCGCAGTAAGAAGCAGGTACCAGAAAGTATATTCGTATATTCAATCAATACACCTCAATGGGCGTGAATGTTTAATAATGACCAATGTGAATGTGTTTCGAAATTATAAATGTTGGGAATCATTTTTAGAATATACGCATGTCCACTATATATGTGTCTTATCTGTTTATAAAAGAAAGCACAAAAAGCAATTCCAGAACAACGTGATGATGACACATATTTATAATCGTTGTAATATTCATTTAATATTTATAAAAAAACAACAATAATTAACCAGCACTCTAGAATTAAAAAACGATTTAGAATATATTTTGACAGTATGTATCATGGAATCTCACAATCCAAGCACATGGTGCCAAGACATATCCGACATTACTACGTTGTATATACAATTTCTTTCTTTTTTTTAATTCGTCAATTTATGTCTGCCGTCTTTTCTAAAACCACACATAGGAAGTAAATCTTGCTAAAAAGGTGTATGGCTGTTCTAGAATTACTTGGTTTGTCTTTCCTTTCTACAGAATAGACGTGCATAATAGAATATTCAATTGTAACTTCTGATTTCATAAATCAACGTTGCTCAATAATCAAAACGCCACGTGTCATTATGGACGCGTGTGTTGGCAATTAGGGTAGTGAATGACTATACAGCTATCTGCATTACAAAGTCAACGCATTGTTTCAGATTTTAAATCTATCTATGCTGCGTTAATGTATTCAAATAATTCAAATACCTTTCTACTGTTGACTTTTATTTATCGTACATAGGAATGTGTAAACGATATGACAATGCAGGTTGTTATCGTACATAGGAATGTGTAAACGATATGACAATGCAGGTTGTTCCAACAGTCTGACATATCAACAAATAGATACTGATAAATGTGTATGAGTTGAATGGACGCATTCTATGTAACATATGATGTAATTATTTCTCAGACGTAGATATTCAAATACTGTGTGTTTACAGGAGTTACCATCATTGTAAATGTTAACTTTCAATACAGGGTCCAGTGGACGCCACAGTAGACTATTTAAAACAGATAAATACAAGACGTATAAAACAAAGAATCCTGATTTGGTAAATACGGTAACGTGTTTTATACTTGTATTTACGCTTATTTCTCATATCAAATGAATGAAGTTAGATGCATATACATCAGTATGATCATACATAATTGATAAGCAATATCTAAATTGTTGTAAGAAGTGAGAAGCATTAGCCATGAAACAATTCATATTGTGGTTAAAATGCACGAAAGACAAATAAATGCCATGAGACTGTCGATAGTTTATTGTCGGTATGTATCTATTGTGATGATTACATACTCATTGTGTGTGTCTTTATGCAATGACGCAAAGCGTTGAGAGTGCACATATACGATTCCGGGCATAGTTTGTGGAATTAGTTTGTGTTTTACGTTGATATTACGTACTTTTTGTACTGACACATTGTAGCACATTAGTGTTAGCGTGTGTCAACCTTTCAATGTCCATTTGTCCTTAAATAAAAATTAAAATTTAGAAAACAATTATAATTATTCAAACTCAGGAAAAGTGGTTCTTTGGATGTTGTAACCTAGTTGTTCCCAGTTATAATTAGCACGACATATTCTCTAACTTGGGTAAATTGGGGACTTGTCCAGACAGGTTTGAAGATCAAAAGTAACACACCACATAGTTAGGTGATTGGTGTTATAGCATTGCTGAGTTGATATGCTTTATGTCCGTATTGTGGATTCAGGTCAAATACTAGCTGTTACGGCACGCCCGATTGGCTGAAAATGAGTATGCGTACTTGATTTAACCAGAACTCTGTGCGAATCCCCCTTGATTCTGGCTGCTGGCCATTTTTGTTCATGAAATCGTCGGATAACATCAGAAAACGCAGGATTTGTGCAGTTTTGAATAAAACCAAGTTAGCGATTATGAACAATGGTTATTAACGTAACACCCGATCCCCTCTAAACCTTTTTGTTTCGCATTTTAAGGTAACAAATCGACATTTGAAACCGACAAAGTGTCGATTTACTAGGTGCCATGTTTCACAACTTGTTTATTTATATACGTATGGTGGAAGATTTTTTTTTTTAAATTAGTATTTATTAATTTTCAGCCCCAAGTGACTGTGTATTAGAGGTCGAATTCAGTGCCAAAGTAAACAATTATCAGATCAAATTAGAACAACAAAATCATAACACCTCCTACGAGTTGTACAAAATCTGGCGGCAAGCTCGCCTAAAAATTACGCAATATATTTGCAAAATAAAAATATTGGTGTAGGTCACAGGCGAACTTAGTCCCGGGATAATGGAATTTGTTTTACCTTTAAAGCGGGGATCTGATTGCTGACATGGCCATGAGGTATAATAATACAGTACATCATTGATGCTAGTGGAACGGTACATTTGAATACACTATGGCCTTTATGCAAAGCGTGGTTTGTTAGTCCTAATCGTTTGAACATGTAACAATCGAGATAATTCACTGCATATTACTTAACTTATTCAAAACCATCGCTTTTTAACATTTTTCATGATGACACATCATGCACGTTAAAGCGGAGGGGTCGTCACCTGCGCATGCGCGGGAATTGAGTTCCACGCATCAACAACAACTCGCGCTAAAAACGCAAAGGCTCATGGGTAGACGCTTGTTTATAAACAATGACACGCTATGGCCATCTGACACAAGCACAGGTGATGACTCACCGCTTTAACTTTAATTAATTAATGTTATTTTCTATAAAGTATAAATCTGCAACGCTCTTCTCTGTTTATTCCTTAGGATTCTCACATAGCATTACCCAAAAACACATTCAAGAAGTCACAAGCATATAATGAGCAGGAGTATACTACAGTTAACGAAGTATGTAATGTTCACTATCACACATGAACACACATGTGTAGTCGACGGTAATACGTGACTAAATCAAAGATCATTTCATTATATCTTGCTGATTTTAATGGATTTGATTATGGTCATTTAAATTGCTAACATTTATTTATTTATTTTGTCTAATTTTTTGTCTGTCTGCCTTTTTTTGTTTTTTGCCCACTGTTAATTTTTTGTTTGTGTTGTTTGTTTTTGTTTGTTTTTTTGCAGGCTTTATTTATTTCTTTTTATTTATAAATAATTTATTTATTTATTTGCTTATTAGGATTCAGTGCAAGTCAAATCCAAAAGTACATACAATCATGTGGAACAAAAAGACACAGTCAAGGAAGTATGTATTGATATTAATCCTTTCACGATATTATATCTTTTATCCATTTTGTTACGAAGAAGCACAGTGCCGTGTGCAATGTGTGTATACAAGGTGACGAAACCGAAACCATAAAAAAGACAGTAATTTTAGAATGAATTATAGAAAATAAAAATACGAACATACCGGTCAACAATGCTTTCTTTGGATCGACACTCAGTATCGACCGCGACAGCGTCTATATTAGTGTTATATGTAAAAAAAAAATGAAAAATGCGGTACCGTCGGCCTTAGTTAAAAGATGATTACACTATTTATACATACCGATTTAAAACATTCTTTTCCCTCCCATAACTGGACTAGAATACTTCAAACACTGTGAATTTAAATCAGGCTTTTTCAAGGTATTATCAGGGGGAAATTTCTTTTCCTCGGGGTCTCCACACGCGTCAGGGGGGAAACTCGTCTCGTCTCTCTATCGCGTCCCCTTGAGGTACGGGATCGGGAAAGTCACTTTAACTTTATAGTCAAATAAGGCACACACAACGAAATACGTTTCAACTCTCGTCTTAGTCGATCTTTTGGAGCACTCTATAAGACACAGCGCCCTGGGGAAAAGTCCCCAAGACTCTCACAAGGCTGAACCAAGACTCGCCCAAGACTGGACTGCCTCAAGGCTCGCCCCTGGACTGGACTCTCGACTCTCCAGGACTGCACTCTCGACTGCCCAGGACTGCACTCTCTCTCAGACTGCGTCTCTCGTAGAGTACTTGCCAAGACCAACTCAAACTCTCTTTATTCATTTTCAAAACTCTAACCAATTACAAAACAGTAAAAGACTCTAGGGCGTAACCTTCAATCATAAAGCCAATCACACTAAGTACTGAATACGTCATATCTTTTGATTAATCGTTCACTACATTAATAACTATGGAATACCAACTGTCAGAATCGCGACGGATATCTGGTAATTAGTTCCAAATCACTGAGCCAAGTTCCGTCCAAAACTTCAAATAGACCTAAACGATGACAGACATAACACAGCAATTCGCTAATAATCAGCTAATTAAGTCGGTTAACAGATACGCGAAAACAAATTCATGACACATCCCTTCACCCAAACTGAGATATGCCTCTCGGCATTGCACGTTCACAAATCAAAGATACCGTCAGCCACTCATCGTCATAGGGTTAAATACAATACTAATAAAAGGTATAAATCAAAAGAGTAAAACACACTAATTAAGTACAATGATTATAAAGTCTAAATACAATGGTTATAAAGTTTCAAATATCAAGGGAAAGGCTACCAATCGACTCGCTTTTCTCAAACGGGTCGCCGAGGGAAACCCTTCGCTGCACTGTCTCTCGTTAGTAAGGTTACAAACTCTATATCAAAAGGTCAAAAAAACTAAGGCGTGGTGGTGTAACCAAGCGATCAGCCAATCGCTGCAGTCGACAGCATGATCACGTGATTACCAGGGATGCGTCTCTCGGTTAAAGCATTGCAA